TCTAACCCTACCCCTCACAGAAAACTTTCTGCATTTTTACAAATTCAAAAAAACTTTTACTTTTATACCAGTTTTACAAATGAGGACATCCCCAAATGGAGGTTTTTGACGATTTTGTCAGGTTTTGCTCACTTTTGGGTACAAATTTGTCCCCAAAATATGGTTAAGTAGGTACACACACACACACAAGCAGTGTGTGTATATGTACACATCACATCTATCTCAAAACTTTCTTAAACTTTTTTTGTAGCCTACATTTTGTACTATTCCAATAATATCATAATTTAGTGATATAGCAGTTCATTAAAAAGTGAACAATCAAACCACACTAGCCTACATTTAGACAAGAATAACTATAATGAAAACACATTTAACTAAAAATTGAAAGTTGACAAAGATCATGCATGATGTCACAAGTTACAATGTCAAGTTTTTAATGGTAGGCTATACATGTATAGCTCAATGTACTAATTTCAGTACTAATACAGAAATATCAAACCGTTATTTTGTTCAGTATTACATTTTACAGTTTTCATTAATTGTTCTTTGCATTACTTCATAATTAAAACGGTTATAAAGGAATGCAAAGAACAATTGATGAAAAATGTTTAAAATTCTTTACATTTATTTACAAGGCATGTTTAATGGCAGGTTTCCATTGTAACAACTGTGCACCAAGGACAACGTGTATTCAGTGAACTATAATGTCAATAAAGTTCAACAGAGTAGTAGAAGTAGTCAAAACGTGTGAAAACGAGTCACATTTCTGTTTAGTATTCATGATTATTTTATTATCTTTTTTGTTAGTTCTCTTATTTCAGTGTTATAACCTATACATTATTGTATAAGTAATGATGGGTTTTAAAGCCAGTAGTAGCCTAAGTCTAGCCTTACATTGACTTGCAGCAGAGCGCTTGCCCAATATCTTCCCAAATGATCGCAGGCAGTTATTTAACATGAAAAAAGTTAGCTAAACAGCTGTGGTGTGATGAGGGGTGAACGGAGCGAAAACTTAACAGTATATGGGAAACCGATTGCTCCCCCATGACATTTTGTATGACAAAGAACTGCACAGATGCAGCTATTATAACAATCTATCGATAAACACACACCTTGCCCTCTGTTTCTCGCTCACGCTGCCGCGGTCTGCGGATTGAAGAACGCGCTGAAAGACGGGGATGACCCGAAGTCTGCCGGCGTTTTCATATGAAATTTAACGGGGACTGAGGCAATCACGAATTCGTGTACAGTTTATGGAGCTAATCCCAAAATTTTTAGGGGGGCTGAGTAGAAATTTTGAGGGGGCTAAAGCCCCCCTAAAAATGGCCTTGCAACGCCCATGTTTGAAACTGTTTTCGTTGTCGAAATAGAGCAAAAACAGGAACTTGTCTATAAAATGTAAGTCAATTAATATTAACTTCTTGTTTATTGAACTTTTATAAAATCAATATCACATTTGCAATCGTACTGATATTTGGAGAAAAAAAACTGTATGCTAGCTACTCTTTGTGTGATATTATATCAGCTGATATAAATATAAAAGACATAAAAGTCATACGTGTGCATATTTGCCCCCTTATATATATATATATATATATATATATATATATATATATTTACAAATGAGGACATCCCCAAATGGAGGTTTTTGACGATTTTGTCAGGTTTTGCTCACTTTTGGGTACAAATTTGTCCCCAAAATATGGTTAAGTAGGTACACACACACACACAAGCAGTGTGTGTATATGTACACATCACATCTATCTCAAAACTTTCTTAAACTTTTTTTGTAGCCTACATTTTGTACTATTCCAATAATATCATAATTTAGTGATATAGCAGTTCATTAAAAAGTGAACAATCAAACCACACTAGCCTACATTTAGACAAGAATAACTATAATGAAAACACATTTAACTAAAAATTGAAAGTTGACAAAGATCATGCATGATGTCACAAGTTACAATGTCAAGTTTTTAATGGTAGGCTATACATGTATAGCTCAATGTACTAATTTCAGTACTAATACAGAAATATCAAACCGTTATTTTGTTCAGTATTACATTTTACAGTTTTCATTAATTGTTCTTTGCATTACTTCATAATTAAAACGGTTATAAAGGAATGCAAAGAACAATTGATGAAAAATGTTTAAAATTCTTTACATTTATTTACAAGGCATGTTTAATGGCAGGTTTCCATTGTAACAACTGTGCACCAAGGACAACGTGTATTCAGTGAACTATAATGTCAATAAAGTTCAACAGAGTAGTAGAAGTAGTCAAAACGTGTGAAAACGAGTCACATTTCTGTTTAGTATTCATGATTATTTTATTATCTTTTTTGTTAGTTCTCTTATTTCAGTGTTATAACCTATACATTACTGTATAAGTAATGATGGGTTTTAAAGCCAGTAGTAGCCTAAGTCTAGCCTTACATTGACTTGCAGCAGAGCGCTTGCCCAATATCTTCCCAAATGATCGCAGGCAGTTATTTAACATGAAAAAAGTTAGCTGACATTTCCATGTCCGTGCATCTCAGACGTCCCCTGCAAAACACACCGAATGCCTGAGGACCGCCAAAGAAGAAAATACAGCCCTGACAAAATAAACAATCCACTACAGAGAAGTTTTGCTACGGGCTTTCTGTCTAATCTCACCGGTTTTGGTGTTGCATTTCCAGGCATCTCGCTCCGGTAGTGAAGTGCGCTCGGGATTGGACTTCGCTCGGAGGCGGGGCAGAATGAACTCGCAGGTGAACTTCTTGAAGGTAGTTTGTGGAGACGCGGAAAGAGAAGTGTTTTTAAGAGTGTCGCGAGACACGTCACATTCTAACGGCCCTGCCCTCGTCCAACCTCCCGGCTCCCGCAATCTGCATACGGTGAATGGAGAGCAGTGTACCGGTGTGAGACTGCACTGAGGAGGAGGAGGGATCATGAGCTACGGGATAGAAGGGGGCGGGGAGAAGGATGTGAAGAGAAAAAGAACCCCTTGTTCTGCATTCATGTGTAAAATTAAAATGACTTTTTGGGCAGAGTACAAATGATTTAACGAGTTTTCAACGAGTCTACTTTTTAAGGGATTTTCTGTCTATGATTTTCTATTTTCAAATTGCCTTCAACTACCTAAAAGACTTTTTAAACAAAACCTTTTTGTATTATGAAAAATAAAATGACAATTCCTATCTATCTATCTATCTATCTATCATAAGAAACTTTCAACTTGGAATCAAGTTTGCACCTAAGGTCCAGTTTATTGTACTTGCGTAACAAACTGACAAATCATACAACATATAAAATAATTTCAAGGTTCCCACACCGTTTGTCCAATGAGTTTCCATGACATTTCCAGCCCTTCCTGATTAACGGTAAAAAATTTTTTAAAAAAAGTTAAAACAAAGTAATTGAATTCACGGAGTAATTCTAGTCTAGATATTTTAGAGCATAACTACAAAAAAAAAAGCATATTCACATTTTATTTACCTTCATTCATTTCGTAAGAATAAGATTGCATGGAAATTCAATTTGCTGAATTTGAAATGTTTTTACATACACACACACACACAGTCTTCAAATAAAATTAGATTAGATATTATATTAGATATTGGATATATAAAATAATCTTTGGTCTGAATAGATTATATATATATATATATATATATATATACACACACACACACACAAAACATTAACAGAAATACTGTATAAGTAAGCAACAGAGGCCTCAGGACTCTCTACCAAAACCAGCAATTTACAATTCAGTCATGCAATCAAAGTACAGTCGAAAGTTCATTGCTTAGAAATACAGTATGTGTGAAATGTCAAATATAGTTATTTGATTGGATGGTTGGTCAGAGCTGATTTGTCAGCTCTGGAATTTGAGGTCTCTTACAGGTCCATAACATTAGAAAGTAATACTGTGGGGTCATATTTGGATATACTGTATATAATTAATATGTAAAAATCTTTTCTTTCATTTACTGTTCTATCAACAATAAAATGTTGTATAACCTATTTAAACTTTTTATGCTGGTTGTTGCTTCTATGAAAATGTCAGTCAGCTGGCCTTTGTGATGTGTTGTACTTTTATGTTCAGGAATTGTTCATTTTACACACAGTCTCTTGGTCACAACCCTCCAGCAGAGCACGGTAGCGTTTCTTCACATCCTCATACATTGGGACGGGGTCGGCGAGTCCAGGCAAGGTCAAAGATTTCTCATTGAGTCGCACACCCATTCTAATCCCCTCCGGGCATTCATACAGCACTACCAGCAGGTTGGCAGCGTATGGCACAATGTTCCCACTTCTAAATATTCTGTTCTTCTGGGTTGCAAAGTTAGTTGAGCTGAGAGGGATGTCATCCTTGAACAGATCCAGCAGCGTGAGGAGGGGTAACAGCGTCTCAGCATGGCCGACCTGCACTGTCACAGCCTCCGATAGAGCACCATCTGAGCTGAGAAAGAGACAGTAACCAACAATAATACAGAATTAAACAGAGAAAAGAGAGAACACCTTGAACCCCTGTATTAGGCTAAAGGGTTAGTTCACCCAAAAATGAAAATTCTGTCATTAATTACTCACCCTCATGTCGTTCTAAATTGGGAGGACCTCCGTTCATCTTCGGAACAGAAATTACGATATTTTTGATGAATTCGGAGAACTCGCTGACCCTCCCATAGACAGCAGTGTAATTACCACGATCAAGGTCCAGAAACGTAGCAAGGAGATCGGTAAAATAATCCATGTGACATCAGGGGTTCAACCGTAATTTTACGAAGCTACGAGAATACATTTGTACGCAAAGAAAACAAAAATAACGACTTTATTCAACAATTCGTCTCCTCCGCGTCACCCTGGTAAACAGCGTAAGCTATTCTGTGTCAGCTGCGTCACGCGGCACAGAATAGCTAACGCTGTTTGCGTTCAGTGGATATTCTCCAAAATGGCACCAGGGTGACGCGGAGGAGACATTGTTGAATAAAGTCGTTATGGGTATTTATCGTTATTGTTGGGGATAAACTGACTGCAATTGTATTCAGTACAATTAATCAAAAATCACTTTATGAAAAATAGAAAAGAATCAGATAAAATCAATAAATATTTAATATTATTAGTCCTCAGACATTACAAAAAAATAATTATTTTGTTTTCATAAACTGTGAATCTTATAAACAGTACTGTAACTATTTTTAAACATTTTAAAAAGAAGTGTGGAACAACACTTCTTCTGCATGCTTTACGGAAGCTCAAACAGTAGAGCATGTTGTTTGTACTGCCAAGGTCATGGGTTCGATTCTCAGCAAACTGAACATGCATGAACTAATAAAAAATGTATGCTTTCAATGCAGTCAAGTTTCTTTCGATAAAAGTGTCTGCAACATGCATAAATGTAAATAGAAATACACTCTGAGGGTAGTTGAGAAACTTATTTCAGGTCTGTGCAGCTGCCTTTAACCATGTAAGTATGCTGGTCAAATTGACCGCAAACATAATAATTGTAATATAAATTTTGTATGCATATTTCACAACAGGTCAGTGTGTCGACACTTTACAGGCATTATCATGACCCTAAATGAGAAAAGTCACAAAATGTCAAGGAGAAAACCATGATTTACCTAGAATTACAGACAACTCTAAAAATCTAAATACGTCAAACTGACATACAACCTAAAACAAGGGTTAATCTTGCCACAAAAAAAACAAAAATGCAATACTCTGCATTATCTACCTTAGACAGTTCTGAATGCATGTCCTTAAAGTTTAATTCAGAGTTATCTCACATTGCATTTGGCGTTACAAAGCCCCGAGGACTTGAATTACAAATCACTGTTTGGATTTTTCAGATGACATTAGTGTGTGTCTAGGTACTTATACGTCACTGTGGGTTTCTCCCTCCACCACTGATTGTGGAGGAGTGCTCCATAACCTTTGAACATGACCAAAGGTGATCTTTGAAAAGAAAAAAGAGAAAAATATCTACATCTATATACACATCAATGGCCTTATATTGACAACAATGAAACAAACACAAAGGGAGTGTGAAAAGGCAGTTCACCACTAATACTAAACGTACTGCACAAGAGAACCAGCAATAAACACTTCCTGCTGTGCAGTCATTCATAAAACACATTCATCATAAATGGGCCTGTGCAGCATTTTCTGAATGTGTAGGTCAAAGTTATTACCTCATAAACATTTGGCAAAGCCAATTAAAAACTGATGAATGCTAAATAAACAAAAACTTTCACTGCAAATATGCTGACCAGAGGGAGGTAGATTTGTTAGTTGTGATGTCAGCACAAAGTAGTATTATGAAGAGTTTTAGCAAACACTATTTAAATATACACTAGACAGACGTGTTTGACCGTTGTGCTTGTGTCTTGCAACTTGTGCATTACACAGCATTTTACAAACATGACGCTAAAGTAAAAGTACTTTAACTTTTAGTGAACACATTTTTTTTGTGTATACAGTATGTCCATTTCACTGCCCAAAAACACACCCTAAGTGAATCACACCTTAACGTACATTGAGACTTCTGATTGTTTAAAAACTGGTTAACAGTTGAGGATCATTTGTAATGTTGTCCAACAAAATATAACATATGACTGCTTTACGTTTTTTCTTTTTACAAAAACATCTGCAAACAGAATTCTTCAATACACAACTGTAAAGTGATACTTAGAGATGTCTAGGCTGAAAGCTTGCTTGGTTGTCATGGATAGGATGTCTCAGATGGGCTTGTTTGGTCAAACATTAACAGTTGAAGAATATACTCGCTTGATCTAATATTGCAATAACATCATTCTGATGTCAAGCAGTGAGTTTTTAAATAACTGGTACCCTGGACAAAAATGCTTAGGTTTTTATCACACAGCACATGTCTGAATATCATACACAAGAATTTAGATGTGTCAGGGACATTCACATCATAGCAGTCTACAGTATTTTAGCATCTAATGGAGTATAATTGTTTTATTTGCTTCTTGTCTGATGCTAATAGCTACTTTAAGATTTATTTAGTTATGATGAGCATCAAAAAGAAAAAACAGACAGATAAACATCAAGAACCGAATGCAAAACATGTTTGGTTGGATTTCTGGAAATGGATAGAGTTGACTAAATTACTTCATTTGAACGTTCTATCATATACTCATCGTGTCACGTTGCGCTACTGTGAGGAGCACGGAGACGAAGGAGCGAGGAGACGAGGAGTGGAATTCAAACATATAGATTTTAATAGCATCCAATTCCGGACGAAGAAGAACAGAACGGGCTAGAACTCAAATAGGGTAGATAACGAGGGGCAGACAGGTGAGGAGGATAACTAATAACAAGGAATACCTGGAAATTATAGAACTAAACGGGGACAGGAACAGGAAGGACCAAATAAGGGCAAGGAAGGCACATGAGGAGCAAAACACACACAAAACAAGGAACAGAGTCTGACACATCGTCATGATGTTCCAAACCTGTATGACAATCTTTCCACCGTCAAACACAAAAGGAGGATTTTAGCACAATCTTCAAGCTGCTCTTTTCAATACTGGGAAACCAAATAATGACTACAAGCTTTCAAGCTACAAAAAAAAAAAGCAAGATATAAGTATGAACAATTTGATAGTATGACTGAAATTTACAGTTTCATACATTCAGAAGTATGGCAAAAGTATCTCAGTAAATAAAGTTACATGAAGTAAATGAGTAAATGAATATTCTCAAATGAATGAAAGGCCAAATGCATACATGTAATTGTAAATATAAGATCACTTATACTTATTTGTGGATGGATACCCTCAACCATCTAGTTTTATGACACACATCTCCCCCACACCCATGTTTGCTTAATTTTCAGTATGAAATTCAAACAGAAAAGGATGTTTAACAGACCCAACAGAATGATGA